TTAATTATTGTAATATTTTAATATTTAATAAGAATTTATTGTGATTAGACGGACAAGATTTAAACAATATATATTTATCCTCCTTTATTAACCTGGCGTTTAGGGTCTGATCCAACCTAATTTATTCTGAGATTTTTGAATAATTTTTCTATTAAATTGAATTCAATCCTCAAGACAAAACACGATGATCCTCATGTATCACTCGTAGTTATAAGTAATAATCAATTACGGTCTTCATACTTTTCGAAAACATGTTAAGTAATAGATGTTGAGTTTCTGTGATGAGACGCTGTTCATAAAACAAACAGACCTTCTTTGTTGCTGTTTCCTCGAACAAACACTCGGTGTAATGAAGTTCCTGTCTTTCAAGGTCCTTGAGTCAAGTTAATGAAAGGTATGAATAAAAGTCACTTATTTCCTTACTCATGCAGTTTTGTTAGAAGTTCATTATGAAGGTTTATAAAATTAATTGTGAAAGAAAAGTGGATAACTATTTGTAACGCGTGGTCGAACACTTCTTTAGATTTAACTTCTCTCTGAAAAGAAGAGAAAATTGTCATAGAAATAAGACAAATTATGATCAAATCTATAGCATCATGCAGAAAATTGAAATATAATATATTTTTGTAAAAAAAAACTTTGCATTAAAAAGAGCTTTTATGATTCAGTTAAGAAATAATTGTAGTCAAAAATTATAATTAAACTTATAATACCCAGAAACTTTGTTGGTTTTATTAACATGTCTGTGTGTGAGTCATGTCCAGTATAATTATGAACTTGACTGTCTTCTGGGATGTGTCATAAGCGACTCATAGCCTTGAAGATGGTAGCAGTAAGCACCTTCGAATGTGTGCATGGGTGTGACACGAAACCAAAATATGCAACAAAACAATAATTTAACGTATAATAGTCAGTTTAAAAATTATTTTACAAGTTTATGTCGAAACAACAATAATTAGAAAAGATTAAATTGTTGACAAAACATGAAAGATAAATTTGGCAAATATTTATTTTTTATATTACTTGAAGCTTTCGCGAGGACTCTCTGTCTCCAGCATCAGGCAATGATGTGATGGAGACAGAGTGTGTCTTGACTCGGCTTGTCACCAGAGAAAACTTTATTAAGTTTATTTTTTTTAGCGTAGAATACAATATCGTCCCTTGTAGTTTTCAAAACACTGAATATAAAATTCTGGGTCTATTGTTATTTGTGTGTGCACAAAACAATTTTGCTAGATGTTTTTGCACTGTTGTATCCCAGTCCGAGGGTAGAACATTTTTTTAAATATAGATGAAGAGACAATGCGAGAGTTAATGGCTGTTACATAACAGAGAACCTAATCAGTATTATTGAAGGTGTGAAATCATCGTAAAAACAGCAGATCTGACACCGACTCAATTGTAATTTATCCATATATCTCACCCAGTTTCTGAAAGGTTCATTGTAACCTTAACAAATATCTTCCAATTCAAGACTTTTTAACGATTTCATGTACCCTGAATATGTGCCTCATCATAATAGCAGTCTTAAAAGTTCCGATGAAGCATAAGTGGGCATACAAACCATGAAGTCTGTCGTAGCGCGGATTTTTTAATCACTCACCACTTCCTTCCTAGTCTGTAGATATCAACTCTTCGTGTATTCTCAATTAATTTAGGTCTTACAGCTGTCACACTTAAAGACTAGGTTCAGAATTCACAGATAAGATGAGGTCAAATGCAATGACATGTAAGAATCTTAATTCAGTAATAAAATTTTAGGGAATTTCATGGTGTTCTGGGAGACTTAAACGCTTGTGTAAGACACAAACCTCAGTCGCTGAAAAATCTCGCCAAAGAAACCGTTTTGTTTATATGCTCAGGCAGAAATATAATTTCTCTATTATTTTTTTTTCCAAACATGAATACTGATTAGTTACTGGATTACTTTTATTTCCAATACAGGTCAGTGTAGAAATGAACTGGAGTCACATCTTATTTGAAGTTATGCTTTGAGAGTGTGATGAAACACAAAAACATTTAGTCAGTATACGATGTGAGAAACTGAAAACGTCTCAGCTTTAAGAGATGAATCCCCGATGCATAATTCAAATCCAGTGTTTTTTCAAATAGTTCGACTTTCGTCACAGTAAAATATAGGTCATTGTTCTGCTGGGTACCAGATGACATGTGCATTAATTAATACATATATGCATTCATGTACACATAAATTGAAATAATTTCTTAAATTTTAAGTTCTGTCGATGTTGATCTTGCCTGTAACTTCAAGAAGTCGTTAGGGTTTTGAAGTTAAAATCTGAATATGGAATATTTAGTAAATCCGAAACGTTTATAAACACCTACAAGACCACGCGGCCTCACAACACATATGACCACAATCTGAAGTATTTAATTCAATGAACATTGAGATACCAACCTATATTTTGTGTCCTTCGATTCCACATGTAATTGATTGAGAATATCTCCATAGATGACATCTCAGGCGGCTTCAAAATGTCATCTAGTGTAATCCAGCCTCTGTTCCTCAATCTAGATTACATTCAGTGATACCAGACCTGGGCTGTGGTCAGCCCTCCATATGCAGTGTTACTTCGTGACATCATCATAGCTGCCGGTCTAGCTACCTGTTTGTATGTGTCTGTGTGTGTAATAACAACAGTCCTCATTGGCCAAGATATTGGTTTTGGTAGAAGGGGCCTCGCGTCTTATTGGCAGCAAATCATTCTTAGGCACCGCCTTCTTAACCTTTCCTTTGCTTTTTTATGTAACTCTCCCTATTCATTGTTATTTCACCTGTTGCATTACAGTTTAGGTGGCGAACGGGAGGGGAGATTCTTGAGGGGACCACGTGGTCAGGCACTTCCTCGGCAGTTCTTGGGCTGGGTCTTCAGTTCGGTTGTAGAAGCTGGCCACGACGGTGGAAGGTGAAAAGAAAACTAGGCTGTAATCCGCGTGTGACTCTGTGGGCGGTGTCCGTAGTGACCTTGATTACTAATTGCGATTTCACCAAAGATGAAATGGAAGATGTCGGATTGATAATGTAGAACATTTTTAAAACGGTGGTGTGTGACGGTTTTTCCGAACATTTAGGGTTGTGAGATTATATTACGAGGTCTTTTGTGACAGTTTTACACGACTTCTGGGACTTGCGACTGGTTAATTAGCTATCCAGTGTGTCTTCCTGTTAAACGGAGATAAAAAAGATCGAGTGTTTTTATACTCTTTCAAATTATCATTGAACGTGTTTTTTTTTTCAAAAAACAGTTTACATCAAAAGAAATTTGAACTTTTGACGTTTGTTACAGCGAATATTGTTAACAAGTTTATTTACTTTGAACCTACATATGTTTTATACAGACCTATAGTGTACAGAATATATTCTTTAGTGAATGAATTTATATCAGAACTACACGTGGTGTTAATGTATTGGGAATAAAATATTTATTCAAAAATATATTCAAATATATCAATTGTATATGGTTTTAATGGATTTCTATCGTATGAAATATATTCTTGGATGAATTTACTTAAGTCGGACTGTACGTGGTGCTACTGGACCTGTCTTGAAATCAATTAATTAAATGACCTTGAAACTGTAATTACTTTCTTCTCCCATCTACTGCACTGTTTCAAAGCGAGAAAATTGTACTTGCAACAGAAGTGGCCTTGTTCTCTTCGCAATGGAAACGTGTGTATTAATTCCACAGGAGTTTTCCTTGGTTCTGACGACAGAATCTGCGCCTGTTGTGACAGCATCGTCCCCTGCGGTGGACAGGAATGCAAACAAGTTGCCGGAGATGAGGGTGAATGTATGGACCAACGCACGTATCCCCCAGGGAACACTCATCTACCCTTTCCAAGGAACTATACGTCTTGACAAACTTGAAGTCTACAGCTGCTTGGATGACAATGATGTGAGTACACTCTGTTCTTTTCTGGTCTTTGTGGTATATTAATAAGTTATTCTTACAGGATTGCAACGTCTGAGAGTTTTGTATATCGTATGCAAAGAACGCTGAAGTACTTTGCAAAGTACGAACGCAAAATATTTTGCGAATTTCAAAAGTTGTTAGATGTGCAATTGGAACTGAAAAAAAAGTTCTGTCTATAAACAACTTCCTGTTGTTTATTTATTTTTGGTCATTATCAATATGTCGTATTTATATTAATACATGCAAATATGTTATTTCGTTAAGAAGGTTTGTTGACATTAATATTTTGAGCAGATGGAAGGAATTATTTAACTTTTTAAAAAATGCTGATCGAAGAATCGTGAGTCCTCTTATTAATAGAGATAAGGTAGATTAATGTAATCTTTAGCTGATTTTAAAGAGATAAAACTCTCTGACGGTGTAATATTTTGGAAAAGTTTTATATATTTTTGTGGATGATTATATGAACTGAACTTTGTTTTCAATATATTGTCATCATTTTCTTATGCACTCATACAAGGAATTTTAAAGCAAAATTACCTGTGTAAATAATTTCGAGTGCATTGTGTGACAGATAAATTCTTGCCGTCCGCGCTCTTTGAGTCTAGCCTCGTTCCTAAGGTACGATGCAACGATTTGTTAAATGTAGTTGGGGAACTGATGTATTGCTATTTCGTATACATCGCCTCTGCCTTAAATCAGAGTATAAATTAGAGTGCAGATATTTTCACAAAATTACGGAGTTGAAGTGAGTGATCTGTTAATAAAAATGTTCTCCAGGAAGTAATTAACATTTCTTTTATATTTTGTCCTCTTGCGTTTGGATTTCAAATGTATTGGTCTTCATGACGATATGCGATCTTTAGTTGTTACAAATTTATTCGCACGTGATTATAAAAAAAATACTTTCATATTTTATATACCACCGTTTCGGTTTGAACCAAGTTAAAGAATCCAGGTGGAAGATTTATCTTCTTTCAGGAAGTAAGCTACATTTTAAAGAGTTCACGGTTAGACTTGGAATGCTGATCTGCTACTGACAGAGTATTTTAACATTAGATGTGAATCAGATTTCTTTTATTCTTTTATGTGATTTCTTTGGCGTGTAATTCGACAAGGTGGAATTTTTGCATTTCACGAGTGACCTATTAACTTATTCCATTGATACATAGACGTCAGTATGAAGCCGCTATCATCTACAGAGTGAGAGAGGGCTTTCAACATTGTTACCATCGTTTTATTTACCAAGTGAAGTAAGATTCACAGAACATTCTTATATAATAGCGTCTTCTGAACACGCAGCTGTACAGAACAGTACATCATTCACTTCCCGTCTCATCTTGACAGTCAGGTGTTCGAATGTCGTGCAGTTTGTTTCTGTCTGCAGTAGGAATACTTGTGTTTATTGATTTCAGAAGAACACGCAACAAGCTGAGAAAACGAAAAGAAAATTTTTGAATATAAGTTTTATAAGAACACGCAGATGACAAAGAGAAATTGGCGACGCTTAACTTATGATGAATTATTTACATTTTGGAGTGAAAATGTACTACATTTTGAATTAAAACCAACTCCGCGATTTAAGGGTCTCTCGTATCAGCGGTCAGAACTGTTCGCCATGAATCAACTTCGTCCGATAGTCAGCTTTTAAGGCTTTAACCGGGATGTTCTAATGGTTAAGTGAAGTGTTTTCTTCGCGGTACGGACTGGATTCGTAAATATTATGAAGACGAGCTTCGGCTTCAAAGGGTTAACCAGCTGATTTTCGTAATGGTTAAGTGAAGTGTTTTCTTCGCGGTACGGACTGGATTCGTAAATATTATGAAGACGAGCTTCGGCTTCAAAGGGTTAACCAGCTGATTTTCGTAATGGTTAAGTGAAGTGTTTTCTTCGCGGTACGGACTGGATTCGTAAATATTATGAAGACGAGCTTCGGCTTCAAAGGGTTAACCAGCTGATTTTCGTAATGGTTAAGTGAAGTGTTTTCTTCGCGGTACGGACTGGATTCGTAAATATTATGAAGACGAGCTTCGGCTTCAAAGGGTTAACCAGCTGATTTTCGTAATGGTTAAGTGAAGTGTTTTCTTCGCGGTACGGACTGGATTCGTAAATATTATGAAGACGAGCTTCGGCTTCAAAGGGTTAACCAGCTGATTTTCGTAATGGTTAAGTGAAGTGTTTTCTTCGCGGTACGGACTGAATTCATAAATAATATTCAGACGATCTTCGGCTTCAAAGGGTTAAGCAGACGCGTCGCTACGTTTCGCCTGAGAGCTCTGTTTCACTCTAAACATTTTTCTGAGTGTATTTTGTGTGTTCCCCGAGCTCTTTTGGACTTGCGACAGCTCGTGTTGTGCGCAAATGAAAATTGCGCCACAGCGTTACATTCTTCCGACCGCGCTGGGTCCTGCTACGTCGCAAGCTAGATAAATCATAAGCATTTCGATGATGTTTTTTTTACTTAAAATCGACTTATTGTATTACAGTAAGTTTTTGTTGTGACGTACTTATAATGTTGAAGGTCTCTTATAGTTAACTTATGCTGTTGAGAGATGGCGGGACACTTAACTTTTCAGAAAGGTCAGTGCTTCTGAACGAGTTGCCTCGTGCGCATCATTGAAAGGGTTGCAATGCCTGCTTTAAGTTCATACCATCACACAGCTGCTTCTCAATTTAATGGTGAAGACATCCATCAAGTACTTGTGTTTCTGATTGGTCAAAGCACGAATAACTAATTTCAATAATAATGTTAGCATTTCCTGTACAGAAATTCTGCAAATCATCAGGTAAACTTAATCTATTTACTCCATCATATTTCAATGCATTCAGTTCTTTGTTATGTGCCGAATAAAATTGCTGTTTCACCTAAATGGCAATCTGGTTTAAACGTTTGTGCTTCACTTTTGAATCATGTCGTAACGGTGTATATGAAATAAAATCAGTTCCATGTTTCGTATCTGAAGTAAATACAAGAACTCTTCTTAATTTTTTTTTTAACATAGGTAGTATCTATCTTGCGAAAATCTCTTCATTTCCACATATTATTTTGCAGCTCACGTCCTCAAAAATCTGCGTCACGTATTCCAACCTCTGTCTCCCCCTACAATTATTCCCTTCAAATGTTGTCCGACTTTTATGGAACCATAAAGTTCATTGCTGTTTTTATCCGCCACTGGTCCTTACCCTCAGTCACATGAATCCAATCCACACACAGGATTCATATTTCCGTAATATAAATTTTTAGAAAATTTTCGTAAAATCTTTGTTCTTCTGACTGATGTCTTAAATTAAGCATGCAAGTTTCTACATCTTCTGTTCACTTATGTTCGTTCCTTGCGTCGGAATTCTACCTTCTTCATGTTTATTCATCCATTTCCGCATAAATAAAACATTAATGCAACAAATGTTTATGTAATAATTTCAACAAAAAAAAAAGAACCTGCCTTGTGTTTCAGGTTTGATGTAGTTAAAGTTACGTAATTTTTAATCTATCTACAAACAATTAATTCTTGATTTTATGGGTTTTGACGACGGTAGATTACACTTAAAATTATCCATTGTCAGACAGACGGAGTAGGTACCTCTCACCTGAAGACGGAGACAGAACCAGCCACCGAAACGTCGTGGGTTTTAAAGAATAGACGTTGGAAAAAGTCCTGACAATGAATAATTTTAAATTGGTACTTGTTCCAACTTGTGTTGCTGAAATTGAGATACTAGTAACGATATTGAAAACCTGAGTAAAGTTCTCAAATCTTTGAAGCAGAGGAAAATTACATTTACCACATTCGTTAACTTTGCATTTGACTTTTTCTATGCAGATAATCAACATAGTTCATTTGTGGGTTTTATATGATTCTCATAATAAGCAGGGATTGTCTCTGAACAGCTGGTCGTTGTCATGAAGACGAGTTGTGTTACTTTGCGGTAGAAACTGAGTTTTTATAATATTTTTTTTTAAAATCATCTTCGTTCTTCAAAGAGTTACATTACTATTACTTGCATATCATATGGGTGATACAGGAGGAAAAGTTGTTTATTTCCATATATCTACAAGGACGAGGGCTTTTCAACGTAGTTTCATCCGTTTCTAGCCTCGGATGTGAATTGTGTTTTCGATGTGGTGCGGTATGATTCATTACCAGGGCGCTCAGCTGTGGTATAATTATATTACATTTGTATGTTAGTGCAACAAGGGATTATTTATATGCTTAATATAGCAGATTAAAAATTTTGAACTAATAGTACTTTTTTTTTAAAAAAAAAACTTTGTTTGCATTGGGATACGTCAAATATTGGGCTCCAGTGACTAGTATCTGAGCCTGATATTAGTGTGTGTGTTTTTTTACTGTTTTCGACATGTGTTTTTCTCCAATTTCATTCATTATTTTATAAATTCCTCAAGTTTTCCAGTCCGCTGAACATACTTTCAGAATTTGCATTTTTGAAAAATGAAAGCATTAACTACGATGTCTTTCTTTGTAAGATCTTGATAATTTATTTTTTGTATTAATTCATTGTTTCGAGATTTGAGAGTTTTCTTTACAGCGGTGAGGGTGATTATATTTTTCTGGGTTACAGCACCGTGTATACTCGTAGGTAATTACAGACGTTTCAGGCTTCCGTCCTGAAGTTGGAGATACTATGCTTCTCCGAAACATTTGCATATATTTAAGAATCTACACGGCGCCGAAACCCATAATGATTCACTGTTATTAGTATTTGTCAGGAAGTCAAATATTTAGTTGGTATAAATCACTTAACCAATCGATCAGTCATTTCATCAGTCGACTAATCGATCTGTCATTCCATTTAAGGAATCGATCACGTTAATCTCAGTGAACACTGAAGCAACCAGTCAACCAGAATGCCTTAGTTAACAACGCACAAGGTCCAATCATCCTTCGGGGTGTGCGCTGTGTGATGCGTTGGTATCTCAATGTGGCGTCTGTCGCTGCTGTTTTGTTTCACTGCGGGTTGCG